TGTGTGTGTGTGTGTGTGTGTGTGTGTGTGTGTGTGTGTGTGTGTGTGTGTGTGTGTGTGTGTGTGTGTGTGTGATATTTCAGAGGAGGAAAAAAAAGACAAGAGGCTCGACAGCACTGCGGATTTTGCAGAATGAGCGCAAGAGAAATGAAAAGTGAAAGTGTCGTAAAAGCAGCTGGAGGATTAGAAAAATAAAACGCACCTGATCTTTAAATCAACCGAAAACCAATGAACGCTGCAGAGATGCGCGTGAAAACCGAACAACAATACCTTCCAGCGGCGGCTGCAGGACAAATGGCGCAGGTGTGTTTGTTTTTTTTACCATCAGCAGGAGCACAGACTCAGAGGAACCCTCCGTGAAATGCACCGATGCAGGAGGAGTCAGTGTGTCCGCTTTCAGGCGCCCTTGACCGGCGTGCGCAGCCCGGTCCGCGGTGCGCCCCTCTGGACGCAGGGATGCTGAGGATGCGGAGGATGCGGGAGGAGGGATGTTGCGGGAAAATGCGGCGGTGGAATCGTCCTTCTCCTGCAGCCGACCTGAAAAACCTGCTTGAATATTTCTTCTCTTAGAGCACAAGTAGTCCAAAGCCAGAAGAGAAGCGGAGGAAAAGCAGCATCCAGACGCACAAATGTGAGGTTTTGTTTGCGCAGGAGGAGGAAACAGTGTCTGCGTGACGGGATGGAGGGAGAGAAGCTGGGCGCAGTCAGATGGAGAGAGGAGAGAGGGGGAGGTCCAAAGAGAGGGAGCCAGGCTCTTCACATCCAGCTCTGTCCTCCCTCTGCTCCTCATCCCTCTCTCCTTCTCTGAGGATGGAGGCAGGAAATGGAAGAAGAAGGAGAAGAGCATCCGCATCAGAACAGGCCCAGTTCATCTGCTCCTCGTTCATGTTTCAATCAAAGACACGTCAGATAATTAAAAACGCTGAGCGCGATTTAAAGAAAACCACAATATGAAATATAATCTTAAAAAACAAATATTCAAACCACACTTATATAATCAAATGGAACAACTGGACCTGTAGGCCTGGGTCATATATATAACTCTTAATTGCCTTTCTGCATAAGAACTGGTTGATTAATTAACTGACTGATTTGTTGTAATCTCTCGCGTTCTTGAAGAAATGTAATATTTTTTAAGAAACTTTTAGCTCAACACAACTGAACAACTCTTTAATTGTTTCAGTTTCAGTTCGGGTCTTGTTTTGTGTTCTTCTTTGAATCTGTACTTCATTAATAAAGTTGTATTTTATTGAAATGTATAATTATCACGATAGATGTTTCATTATTTTTTTCTCTGATCAAGTTTAAAAACTGATTTTTGAGAGAACAACATAGTCATGAACTTCTGATCGATCGTGTGTTAAACCCCCTCATGTGGTTAGCATCATTAGCATCATTAGCATCATTAGCATCATTAGCATCATATTGATATTTATTACCATTATACTGCAACAGTTGTAACTTGCACCGATGACGTTATGTTTTCAATCACACAAAAACCACTGGATAGATTTCCACAAACCTTGGTGGTAACATTTGTTACGGGTCAGAGAAGAACCCATTCAATTTTGCTGCGGCTCTAGATCGGGGGAGGGTGATCGCGATTATTTGTCGTTTGCTTCATAACGTGAAGAAAACTTACGTGACCTCATCTGTGAACATGATTTGCACCTTTAAGATGTAATATTTCCACATATTCAAGACTTTGTAAGATCCTGTGCAACACCTTCTTTTTATGTAAACATTTAATTTAATATATTTTTATAATATATATATATATATATATATATTCCAACATGAGCAGTGTTCCTCACAGGCTCTTCCATATGGCTCGTCATCTGTTCCCTCCTCCCCCCACCCACCCAGCGCACTGGGAACCAGTAGCACGATGGAGGCTGTTCTCCGCTCACAGACCAAGAAACAATCAGTGGCTTCAAATTCAATCTTGTTTTCTCCAATATGAGTTTTACTGGAATCTAAAGTGCAGAATACAAGTAGATGATCTGAGCAGTTTTTCAATTTGTCAACCTTGTAATGTGAATTTATATATTATATATATATTTTATTGTGAAGATGGTGAATCTATTTGTCATTTGGCACCAAAAGTGACGTTTCCACAACCTGTGTGAATATTTTTTTCCGTCGATAAAATTCATTTCATCTGTAAAACTGGACAAACAGGAAGAACCTGGTGTCGCTTGCTTCAAACACGTTGACAAATTCCCAAGTTGAGACATAACGACTCAAGACTCTGTTTGTTTTCTCTCTTTCTCAGTTCACACCACTTTATTTCACAGTCCGTCTGGAGGTTGTGAAATATTTTGAGCGTCTTGATGCATCACAGATAATTGAAAACACAAGATGATGATGCAACAGTCTGGTTCTGGTGATCAGACTGAAATCATTTCAGGAGCTTCACAGTCCAGAGCCTCGATCTGACTCCGATGAAATGATTGTGCTTGTAGATCAGACGAACCATCTTTAGAACAAGAGAGAAACGAAGAGGAAAGAAATCAGAAATGTTCCACATTAAAAAAGATGAATGTTCTGAGTGTTTTAATGACTTTTATACTTTGTCCCACGTCCACAGATACAAATAAAAACATGTGCAGAATGAAAAGTTGTAGAGTTCAGCTCCGTCATTTATCTCTATTGTTCATTAGTATATATTTTTAGAAGTGTGTTTTAAATGCATACATGTTTTTAATTGTAGACACCGGGAAGAAGAACCTCGAGACGTTTCTCTATCAGTAATATTCTGTGTGTAGTAAAACAAGTACATCTTGTACACATTCCCTGTATTTCTAAGATTTTATTCTTATTTATACTTTCACATGTTGTCGTGTGTGTCTCCTCTTCTATCTGCTGCAGTAACAAGTGACCAATAAAGTCAGATTAATAAAGTTTATAAGACTTTAACATGGAAAAGCTTGTCATCATTTCACACAGGAATAAAACACGGATCCACTGTTGTATGAAAGTTGATGTACTTTGTCTTATTTGCTGCACTTTCTACAAATTAAAGTCATAAATAAAAACTCGTTATTGAATAATTTATAAATGTATAACACTTTTGCAGCATCACTGCTGGAGTGGCCTGCAGCAAAAACCGAACCCCATTGAGAAATTCAACAATTTAGTTTTATTTCCCTTCCTGCTGTAAAACGATGTCTCCAAAGAGGATGAATCTTCTTCAGTGAGGAGTAAAAAGATGTTCTGGTTCATTCGGCGGAGGTGAGGTGTTGATTAGTCGATGAAGAAACCAGTTAAATATGAGTTTATGGTTCCTCGGGGTAAACAGAGCTAACAGTGAAATGCAGGTTTATCATTGACGCGTGGCTCATTTCTCTGTTACATGTTCGGTTGTGTTGTTCTGTTCTCGGTTGTGTTGTTTAGTTCTCGGTTGTGTAACATCGTTGTGTAACTTGTGACACAACAACACGAGCCCAGTGTCCGGGTTAGCTAACGATGCTAAGCTAGGCGGAGCTGCGCCGCGGGTTCGATGGTCTCCTCCTCCTCCAGGCTGCGGATGATCTGGCGTCACCTGGCGAACGGTCGAATGGGAGAGATGGCCTCCAAAACACAGCTGCCCACCCCGGAGACAGCGCTGCCCGGGCGGACCGACACCATCGAAGTCTCCGGTAAGAAGCTCCGCCGGGCGCCGTTAGCTTTAGCACGTTAGCTCCTGCAGCAGCGGCCCCTCGGCTGCAGCCGCTCGGTTCAGTGAGTCTGTTTCCTGCGTCAGATTCTTCCGGAGACAGAAACTGGTTCTTCTTCAGGTTTAACACAGATTCTTTAGAACCTCAGGGTTCTCCAGAGAACATGACGTCACTGCACCTGTCCCCACTGCACGTGTGTACCCCTGTCTACATGTAGACACTTCACTTCACATCATACATGTACATGTACATGTGTCTGTCATGTGACACGTGTGATCTGATGAAAACTACTTTCAACTACTTCACATTTAACTACTACAAACTACAAACTACAGTAACCTCCTGAAAGTACTACAACAATACTCATATAAAACTACAGCAGCCTCCTTAAAGTACTACAACAACACAAATATAAAACTACAGCAGCCTCCTGAAAGTACTTCAACAATACTCATAAAACTACAGCAGCCTCCTGAAAGTACTTCAACAATACTCATAAAACTACAGCAGCCTCCTGAAAGTACTTCAACAATACTCATATAAAACTACAGCAGCCTCCTGATAATACTAATACAATACTCATATAAAACTACAGCAGCCATCTGATAGTACTAATACAATACTCATACAACTACAGCAGCCATCTGATAGTACTACAACAATACTCATACAACTACAGCAGCCTCCTGATGGTACTACAACAACACAAATATAAAACTCCTGATAGTACAGGAGGCTGCTCTTATCCCAAGTTGATCAGAAAACACATCAAACTAAAGATTTAAACATTTGTTTTATTCTGTCAGCTGTGTGTGTGTGTGTGTGTGTGTGTGTGTGTGTGTGTGTGTGTGTGTGAGAGAGAGTTTTTTACGTGTAAACACACAGAGCAGTACTCAGTTGGCAGTCAGGACAGTTGGCACCAACCTGGACCCTCTTCACTACAAGTGAGGCTGCTGAGTCCTGGCACTCGATGAATAGATCTGCACTGGCACTGAGCATCTCACACACACACACACACACACACACACACACACACACACACACACACACACTTGCTGCCCTTTAACATTATAAAGACAAAGATGACTAAAACAAACAGTGACTCGTTGGTTCCGTGTTAAAGAAACAGACAAAGGAAAAAGTGAGATGTCGAGTTTCGATCAAAGGCTTGTTTTCGATATAGTTTGGATGAGGCTGGAGAGGAGTGGGGGTGTGGAGGGGTTAGGAGGGCGGGGGTCCATTGCGGAAGGACGATCGGGATGGATGCAAGGGTTGAGACGGACTGGCAGACATGCTGGAGCGTCGCCAGTGCTTCCCGGGATCGCTGCCACAATCGAGAGAGACGAAGAAAGAAGCACAGAGGACAGGAAAAAGCTGTGCCTGGAGTGCAGAGACTTGGCAGGGCGTCCCCTCCTTTGTCTGTCTGGCTCAGGGCTGCAGCGCCAGAGGAAATCAAGAAATGTCCAAACACAGTTGCAGTGGTGGTGGATGGGGACGAGCTCCGCCTCGTCTCCGAAAAGACGAAAGAAGGAAAAGTACTTCCAACGGATCGAAAACTCTGCTTCTGAAAGGGATCCGGAGAAAAAAAAGGAAACAAAACCAGCGTTTTTTTCCTATTTTACATCAAATTCCACAATGGAGCGATTGAATTTTGTGTAACGTGGCCGCAATTTCTCATAAGCTGACCTTTAATTTTAGTGGAAGAGATTATTGAATTACAGTTTTTTGAGACCCAAACGACATCCGTGAACTGGACGAGGACAGATGTTTGACTTCGAGTCCACTTGTAGCCAGAGGAAGGCCAACCACATGCCGAGCAAGAGGTCTGTCATTCAATGCTTGTTGGAACAGTCTGTATTTGTTCGAAACATTCTGTATTTGTGTTCAAGTGCCCTGGTTAAGACGTGCGACTTGTTCCTGGACAAGATGAAACCAAAGGTTACGAAGCAGGCCAGCGAGGCCAGACGCCTGGAAAAAACCTATTACCTATATTAGGTCGTTAATTATGCTGTGGACTTGGTTTTACTTTTGAACTACGACCTTTGGATTTTAGATTCAGAACTATACACGCAGGGGGATGGATGAGATTCTTGAACATGGAAAGAGTAGCGGGTGAAATAAATTCAGCTCAAGGTCTATTAAGAAGATTTCAGTCCTCACACATTCTGTTGTGGACTTTGAATGTTTGACTCTTTCGATTGAAAATCATAGATGCTCGCCTCATAAATAACATTTGATATCCAACGAAGCACAAGTCATTCACATTTAAGTTTAAACATTTGATTTGGTTTCATTAAGGGCTGCAGTTATTATTCACTGTAACTGATTGTCTTCAAATGATAGATGATTGTTTTTAAATCATCAGTTCAGTGAAAAACCTTCCAGAGTCTGATATTGATTCTTTAAAGAGCTTATTAATCCTCCACTCTACACTTTTTAAGCCAGTGAACAAAATGATTCGGACGCAACTCACAGAGAAGTAACAAGAGTTCTGATTGGTCTGTTCGCTCTCGACCTACCCACAAAACTCTACAACTCTACTGTCGTTGTTCAGGGTCAGGCCGGTAGCTAAGTCATTTTCTACTCCCACACATTAATTGGTCTGGATCTTCAGACGTTCATTTTGCTGGTAGTAATACTATAATACCATTTTCTTGACAACTGACAACATGCCAATGTCAAAGCGTCCATGAACCAATCGAGAAGCGTAGGTGATGAACAAACACATGAAGCCTGGTTCAGACTCTCAGGTATAAAAAAAAAAAAAAAAAACGCCCCAAAAACTCCTAATGAAGCTAATGAAGAAGTTAATGTCATCCTCATCACCAGTTACTGCAGATGTGTTCAGACGTACAGCAGCTGTTGTGTTCAAGTCTCTTAATGAGCAGGTGTAAATCATTACTATCGCAGCTTGCTGTGGCAGAACGTGTCATTTTGATATTAACGGTTTGATCATAAAAATTCGGCTTCGTTGCCAATTTTGAAAATAAATATATATATATATGTTGGCCAAAATATTGATATTGGAAATGTTTTACTCCCTTATATATCGGTATCATCATAATCCATATTGGAAAATACCAGTCGTCAGCCATACCTCATCATCCAACACCAGTATTTGAGCACCTATCACATCATGGTGTAATATTCTGGTGTCCAGTATCAGATGCACGGATCAGGTGAATCCAGGTGAGGCTGTGTATCTGCTTGTCCATCACGCGTCTTGTAAAGTGACTGTGCAGGGACATCATGTCCAGACGGGCACTCTTTCTCTATCCAGCTACCTTTTGTCACAGCTGTTTCCTTGACAACACAGAGGGATGCCAGTGAACGAATGAGTGAGTGAATGAAAGTGTGTTTTTGTGCGATTCCATCAAGCAGGGCCCTTTGTTGTTTACACCATGGTCTGATAACCTTGACGGGGGGGACGTGACGGGCATCACAGATTCGGAGGAACTATAGAGAATGGATGGAGATGAAAAGATGGAGGGGAACAGAGGCTGAGAGTTTAACTGTGTCGGCACTCAGATCTTCAGCATTAACGTTTAAACCAAGCGGATCCAACGAGACTCCTGATAAATTCAGGTGGGAAAGAATCTTACACAGCGAACAAAGACTTGAGAGGGACCATGTACCACGACCATCACATGAGACTCTGAATACTACACGTCAGAACACAGCAGGAATATCAGGATTCACAGGAAGTGGGTGTGACAGGATGAAAAAGAGGAGCGGTACACGCAGAAGAAGCCAACGAAGACGAGATCTGAGAATTCTGGGTGAGAATTGCCGGTGAATGCGTCACGTCCTGCCTCCTGCGTGATCCACTCAGGTAACAGCAGTTTGGACGATTGTGTCGGGACAATCCCCTGAGCTCGTGTCTGATTTATTTTTGATTTTGATTTTTTGAAGGATCTTATATTCCCCCACCCCCACCCCGCCAACAGTGGACGTATTTTCAGAAGTGTGCGTGGATGCCAGAAAGCCATTACTTGAACCTACAGACGTACCCAACGTTTTTTACAGATTCCATGTCTGAAAGGGCCCAATCAGTCCTCCATCTTTTTAAAGTGCAAAGTGCGTTAAGTACTATTTCCTGCACCCCCGCCTCGACCACACACTGTCTCACTGCTAATGGCTCTGAGTGATTGATCGAGTAGAACCCTCAGGGGATCACACACACACACACACACACACACACACACACACACACACAGCTGTCAATCAAGCAGATGGTAATTCAATATTATCATACAGTATTCGGCACATGCACGTCGCTGACCAGAAAAACGCAGAATGAGGATTTCACACAATGTTTTTCTCATCGTGACTGTGTCCTTTAAAAAAATATACTCATTGTATACATGATATACATATACTGGTTTTAACGTTGTGGCTGATCCACCGAAAAAGTCGCCAGAGACGACGTCCCGTTTCCTGTTTTCTCGTTTCTTTTGTCTAATTCATCAATCGGTATATGCTCTACTCCGTCTATTCCACAGAAACTACTGGACGGATCACCATGAAACTTAGTAGATGGCTCAAGGAACATCCTGTTGAACTTTGGTGCAGATACAGATCAGGTTTCTTGACATTTCCATTGATTTCACAGGGAACAAGGTCTGGATCTGGATAAATCTAGAAAATCAGGCACATTTAGGGAAATGATATCAGTTTGGTGTAGCTGGAATGAATTTAGGGTTTCGTTCTTACGTCATGTCAGGCTGTGGCTTTTTTTAATGACTACCAGCGTATTTTTCGACTCTGCAGTGAAACGCAGGTTTTGAGGCGAGTGCAGGAGGCTGTCGGCAGCGGAACAATAAGGATAACTCTGATGGTTGTAATGATGGGTCGTAATAAAAATGACGATGGCAATCAGAGCGGCTGATTGAGAGGCTCAGATAGGAGGGGAGAGAAGTAAATGGAGGGAGAGATATGGGTGGAGGAGAGAGATGTAAAGGGAAGATGATAAGGAGGAGAGGGGTGGGGGCAGGAGGAAGATGAAGAAACCAGGCAATCAGAGAGGGAGACAGAGGAGGAGGAGAAGGAGGAGCGGGTGGGGGGAGGTTACTTTGGAGATTTAATTGCAGTGCAGTTGAGGCAATCTTTTCTGTGTGTGTGTGTGTGTGTGTGTGTGTGTGTGCGTGTGGGTGTGCGTACACTCTCCAATCTCCCCTAGCCAGACATTAGCTGCAGTGTTTCATTTATCACTGTCAGGTCTGGAGCTCCAGGGGGTGACAGGGGGGAGCCCTGCACGTTCAGCCCCGGCTGCAGCTCCTCTCTCCTGCTCTGGGCAGCGAGGCCCTGGCCTGGTCTGTTGGCCTGGTCTGTCGGCCTGGTCTGTCGTCCTCTGATATTCACATAAACAACAACACAGAAAAATCACCGAGCTGGAACTCATATGTATTCTGTCGATTGATGGACGGTATATTTATTTCAACATACCTTGAACTCAGCTGGTCGTGAACTCAAACGACCGCTGTGGTTCAGACTGAAGCATCCGTGCAACCATTGGATGGACCGTAGTTTCTGATATATATTCACAATCACATGACGTTGTTGCGTGTTCGTTGTTGCATCGCGTTCAGCAGATAGCTACGATAAATAAGATCGATTGGCCGATACAAGATGTCCACTCATCAACTTTTTCATTGTGGCAACCGGTGTAGTCTATTTATTTCAGGACTCATGAGGTCACAGTGACCTTCACCCCGGAAATCTCGTTAATTTATCTTTGAGTCAAAGTGACAACCGCCCTAAATATTCCAGATATCATGTTTCAGCCTTGTTCTGTTTCACCACTGCAACCTTGACTTGTGACCTATGACCACGCACATAAGATAGAAACCGACTGTGACGCAGCATCCTGACTCAGCACTTTGTTCACAGTGAGCTGTGTGTGTGTGTGTGTGTGTGTGTGTGTGTGTGTGTG